TCAGATCTGAAATCAGATTTTACACTAACCCTGGGTTATCTTATCCCAGCTTTGAACAACCCCGCCCAGGAAAACATATTAGGGGTTATATGCCTAACATCAAACAAACCTATTAAAAATATACATATAAAGATACACATTTTTAATTTAAAAAAAGAGACATAATTTACATCAAACTATCAAGATATTTCCCGCATAATTAACTAAAAATAAATTGATTATTTAATTATTTCACAAAGCCTCGCAAATTATAAAAATTATTATCTTGGTAAACTTGTCTCCCATATTTTTTGCCACTTGCACTGTCAATTTTGGCATGAAAGCTTGACAAGTCGCATGCCTTCCAACGGCATCCAAAATTGCTCGGTCCTTTTGAGCGACACAACCAGTTTGTTGTTCTCCTGCCTCAGTTTGACAAAACACTCCAATACCATACTGAGAACCACCTGCTAAGGTCTTTCTCCGCTGTTGATGGGGTCAGCAAGACGTTCTAAGCATTCAAGTTTTATCTTTAGCCTGGTGGCACTATTACAGGTTTAAAAGCATTTATTGTTACCTCACAACTGTCCAAAAACTAACGAGTCACTACGAAATTCTCCAAGGTGATAACTGGTTCTCTGGTCTCCGCCATTTTAATTATCCCAGCAACCTTTGCGCCGCTAACTACTTTTTATGCTTCGAAGTTAGGAACGGGACGACATTATAGGGTTTCTCTCGCCAAGTATGCCCATAGTATCTGCTATTACCAAAACATTTCCTTAACTATACATCGAATTTACTATTTCTTTCCGCAAAGCAAGCAGGTAACCAATCAATAGACACAAGGTGGACTTTTTTGGTGGGTACGGATTGGAAAGAATGCAGGCCATAATGATAATGTGCTCCTCGAGGGAAGAGCACGAGCGTGGCGTTTTCATGGAAGCGGTCGCCCAGTTTAGCTTTCAGAGCAAATTTATTAAAATTTCTTTGATGATTTTTTTTTTGTTGCACAAATAAATTAATTATCTCACTGTACCCTTTTCAGCAGGCTCGCGTGCGTGTTGTTACGGCTCACCTGCACTTTAGTCACGAGACAAAACTTATGTCACGTGATCATATATTTCTAGCAGACATGTTCGTTGTGAAAGGCTTTTCTTGGCTCAGAAGTAGTTCATGTATGTTGATCATCAAACTGACGAAGAAGAAATGTACAAAAAGACTATCAAAGTCTCAGGATAGATAAATATTTACGCCTTTAGTAGGTTCGTTGAGCTACAAAGTTGATGGTTGAAATGTTTTCAGTTGGTCGAATACCATGGTGGAACTAGCTAGTACAGATCAATAAGTTTATGCTGGAGAAATGGCCCACTTTTGTCATTCTTTTACTCTGGGTAAGTTAAGTGGATAAAATTTAGCTTCTTTTAAGTTTAGTTGACTTTTCATAAAGTTATTTATACTGCACAAGGTATAAGTGAGTGGCAAGAATTCAGCCTTTCTCCAGAATACCTTTCTATCGTTTAAACTTGATGATCTGATACTGTAGGTTTTTTGTGATTCAATATTTATTATATCCTGATGATAATAAACAGTGTCTTGGATTTCATGATGAAAAAGTTGCTAAAAGGGTTGACAGAAATTTTTTTGAAACGAATAGCTGTTTTAGTAAGAAAATGGAAGAGTATACAATCATATTTCCTCAGCAATCTAGAAAGCGTTCGTAATTAAACAGTCCTTTACACTCAAGTTATCAATGCTGTGGCAATAGGGACATGTTTTCCTTGTGCCCCTACCATTTTAGAAGGTGAGGAAGGAGGCGGGGGCACTTATTCTAGGAGGGGACGCTTGTTTGATATCATGGACAAGAGCGTGGGAGCTTCTTCGAAGAAATTCAGTATGTCGTTTTACTTTAAAATGAAATGCATGGAAAAAAAATAAAACTTTTAGCGGTATGCGATAGCCTCCGGCCATTTCTTAGCAAGCTATATACTATGTATATCCCTTGACTATCGGCTTACGTAGTTTCCAGTCTTTCATGGCCGGAGCCAATTTTGATGCTTTACTTGTTTATTGAAACGCTAAACTAAACAATTTGACTATACTAAGTAAAGCGCACCGGTGCTTTAAAAATCCAAACTAAACTAAAAAACCCAAGGAAATAAAAAGGTGAAAATAAAAATATCGAACCTCAGCATCAGTTCCAGCTCAAAGCAAACTTTTCGCTCAAGTTCAAGTTGAAATTAAAGATTTCTGCGCGACTGAATTCATTGGATGAGGGGCTCAATGAGGTAATGGCTTGTACGGCTAAAAGGAAGAAATTTGCTTTTATGTAGCTCAAAACTTGTGTAAAAGTATCTTCCGGAAACTGTAGTAACTAACTCAAACACTTGTAGCAAAACTGTCATATTCGAATTTTTGTCGTAAACAAATCTTTGGCCTTCCCTCGCCCATCCCCTTCGTTTAGGAAATTGTTTAGGAATACCACTTGAGTTTTACAGATGTTGAAATACTTTGTTGTGCTTGAACAACGCTTGTAAATTCGCAAACCAAAAACACACACACACAAACACATGCACATACGAAAAAAAAAAAAAAAAACTCATACAGGAATCGAGAGTTACAATATGCTTCTGGTTCTTTTAGTTATCCCCCTCACTAAAAGTTTCTCTTCTTTACGTGGGCTTATGCTGCTGCTTTTAGACAATTATAATCCACACATTATTGTAAAAACTAACAGTTTGTTTAGTACTTACTTCCGATATCACACACCTAATATTGGAATAAAGAGGAGATAGAAAGATATAGATCATAAACTGGTTATGCCGGAGTTTCACACTAGAATCTTAGAAAAATTCCACTAATAACATGTCGACAAAAATTAACCACAGAAGAATGGCAATGACTGATTGATAAGGATAGAAAAGATAACAATAACGATGATGATAAGGACGATTATAAAATGAATTGCGAGTAAAAACTTAGTAGAGGTAGTCAAATTAAAAAAAGTCAGAAAAATTGATATCTATTACCGCTGCTCATGGGGCTATTCACCAGCCAGGAGGTCCGTATTGGGAAAAACTGTGCCCGAGGTCTTGGTACTCAAGACAGAGGGCACAGTTTCTCCCAATACGGACCGACCTATGCTGGTGAATAACATTTTTTTTTTCTAACACTTAACAAAATGATTGCCATAAGAACCCGAATGATTTAGGGCTATAATTACGAGTTTAATTACGGGAAAATCCTCCATAACGATAACAATTTGTTAGCGAGTAGATGATAAAGAATACAGACGTTATTCAAATTAAAGAGAAAGCTATCACGGAAATATTTTTAATTTGTAAATGTAACTGAAAAAGCTTCGGAGCAAACTTTGAAACATTTTTGACAGGTAACTGTCACCATGTCACACCTGTCAACTGAAGAATAAAAAAAAAGCGTACGCTTTTCAATAAACAACAGTTCTGGTGTGACAAACACACACGAGTTAAATGACAATGCGGCGACCTTCTCGTAAAAAAAAAGAAAAAAAAACACTCAGAGATCTTACAGAAAGTATTGTTTATTTCCAACGACGATTAATTTTCGAAGATTTCCCTCTGTACCGTCTGAAGATGTCACGCAAAGTCAATCTGTAAGTGAATGCAAATGTGTGTTCTGAGTTGTTAGTCTGTTTGTTCGTTTTCTGCAATGGTGTGTGTAAATCCACAGGCTTATCATCTTAAATATCCGTGGTTTCGGGTTTCCATGGTAATGGGTCCTGTAGCATTTACATAGCCGTTATAAATGTAGTTCAAATATATTGCCTCTAGAATTTGCCCCTAGGAGTCAGTCTGCGTTTCAGTTATCGAATTTCGGACCCAGCCACCCTACCCGATGAACAAAAAATGTGAAAAACTGTATTCCCTGTCGGGGCCCCAAAGGCACTACTTTGTACTTCCGGCGGATGTCGTAAGCCAAGATCGACCAATAAAAGAATCGAGATAGTTTTTGTAAACATTCTCAGGCAAACCCATCGAGTGTTAGATATGTAAGTTTGAATTTGCTTTAATGGTTATTAACGCATGTTTGGAATTCCTTTGAGTACCCCTCATGTCCGGATTCCCAGAAGGGCTCCAAATCTACGACTTTGCGTTCCATTTTCTCATAAACCGTTGAATGGAATGATTCCAACCCGAGTCACCGTAACAGCCAGTGGATAATCCTTCTGTGGCCTGTTGAATTTCGGTGGGAAAATAAGACCTGGAAGGTAAAACATACCTGTCTCGAGTACGAGGTGGTGTGCCGGATCTGGATGCCTAAGCTGCCTGCCTTGTCGCACTTCTTTTAAACTATGGAGAGCAAGCTGAATTAACCGCCGAACTTTGAAAGCCCCAAACGAGCGATTTTGAGGCTTTCTGGCAGAAAAAACACTTCCAAACAAGTAATGAACTATTAAGCTTTATTCTGGGCTCATTTTTTTTGAAGACTGACTCACTAGGGACAAATTCTAGAGGCAATATATTTGAACTACATTTATAACAGCTATGTAAATACCACAGGACCCATTACCACAAAAACCCGAAACCAAGGATATTTAAGATGGTAAGCCTGTGGTAAATCTGTCTTTCTTCGACAAAAAAGCTAAAGTCAGTGAGACTCTTTCCAGCTAGACATGAGGGGATTTAATGCGACTTTTATTTATCAAATTCCTCCGGTTCCTGATGAGAAATTGATGGAAGAAATGTCCAAATTCAAGGGATTTGCAAGAATAGGCGAAAGTGTATTTAGAGAAGAACTCAAATACTTCGCACAACGTTTCAAAAACGAACAGATTGTGTTGAAGAATTCAGATATTAACGAATGAGAGTCACATTGATTAACGTAATTGTTAGCCTGCAACCACCTCTCGTTGTAACTTTCTGAGTTACTTTTTGTGAAGGATTATTAACGAAGCTTGATGTTCTGCAAAGTGAATCGAGCGAAACGGATACCGCCCGCTGTGAGCGGGCCGGATAGGGAGAATACTGCCCGCTCTCGGAACCAATCAGATTGCAGGATTTGTAGAATACCGCCCTCTCACGAACTGAGAAAAAAAATTCTCATATTAGAGGGCATTTCGACATATTTGGCTACGATACTAGTTTATCATTTTCAATTCTGTTTAAAGTGTTGCTCAGATACGATTCAGATACCTTACAGGCACCTTTAAAAATCCCGAAGGCCTATTTTAAAGCTATTCTTTGGTAGAATTAGTCAGTAAATAGTGTAAATATCCCTTCTCGATACAGGTACGCGAGTTAGTTTAGCACTTCAGTATTCTTCATCCTCACTCTCTGTGTCTTGTTGGAGATGTTTTCGCAGAAATTGCAAAATCTTTGACCAGGAGTCTTCTTGTGCTCTGGCATGTGCACCAGTCTCCCCTCCCCACGCTATGTAAGAGTCACCACACAAATCTTTAGAAGATTTGTTGTAAGAGGAATCACAAAGAGGGGAGTAAGGTGGCTCGATGAGATGTCCTGCTTGGGGATAATGCAGATTAGTGCACAAATGCTCTTTTCCATTCTCCTTCAAGCGATCAACAATGAACTTTTCCGCAAATTCGGCGGGGATGTTCAAGTCGTCAGTTCCAGAAACCAGCATCACTGGGCAATTGATGTTCTCAACTGGTGTTATAGCTGAGTATTTGGAGACTGTTGGATTCATGCCGTCGATGTCAGTTGATAGAGCAAAACGCCAGATGCTACCTTTCTCTGAAGACAACACTTCGCTATTGTTAAGGGGGATCATATCAGAGACTCTCCCTTTTAATTGGAAAGGGTGATGGTAGGCGATTACCAAAGGTGAAATAGCAACAATGGCCTTTATTGCTGCGATTTGATAGCTTGCCATCAACAGCGCAATCCATGACCCATAACAAATGGTGTGCATGCCTATACCATGTGGAAGGACTTTAGGGTGACTTACAAGCCAGTTAGCAGCTTCTTGAAAGTAATCCAAGTTTATTGAAGATGGAGACAATGGTTGATCATAATCAATGTAGGCTAACGCAAGAGTAGCGAATCCATGAGATGCCAACAGCGAAGCCTTAAATTCCACTAATCCACCTATAGTACCGAGCAGATCTATCACTCCTGCAAAGATAACATTGACTAACTCAGTTCAAGATATGTCAAATATCAGCAGCGAAAATCGTATGATTGTAAGACTGATTGTAAGACTGATTGTAAGACTTAAGAAGACTAAAGAAAGGCGGCAAAAACGATGAGATGCTCACCAACTTTAAACAGCTCAAAATGTCGGATGCGCGATAGCAAGTTCCTTCACGAGCGTCTTGATAACATATCTAGAAGGGTGCTGTTAGCTGCTTTGTAACCTTGTTAGCTTAAAGTTTATTCCAATATACTTCCTGCCGGGAACCAGCCCTGACGAAACGTTCGACATGTCTTAGAAAGAAATTGAAACGCTCAATACAGACCTCGATCTTATACGGATCACTCAGTTTTGTTAAGTATTAGATTTTAAGAGGATTGTCAAATCAACACACGATTTAACTGAATTTACAGTCAAGAAGAAATGAGACATATTCACACTGAACCAATATTGAAACTAAGTTTTTTAGGCTAAAAATTACACTAATGGCTTTCAAAGTTTTGGTGTGTATAACATGAGAGAAACCCTCCAACATTATTGCATTGAAAACAAGACAGCTAAATGACAATAGTATTTGAAATACTTCCAAAATTACACTAATGGCTTTCAAAGTTTAAGTGTGTATAACATGAGTGAAACCCTCAGACAAACATTATTGTATTGAAAACAAGACACCTGAATGACAATAGTATTTGAAATACTTCCAAAATTACACTAATCGCTTTCAAAGTTTTGGTGTGTATAACATGAGTGAAACCCTCAGGCAAACATTATTGTATTGAAAACAACACAGCTGAATGACAATAGTAGTTGAAATACTTCCAAGTTTCTCGTGCAAAATTGATTCAAGCCATGTGTGAGCAATTCGTCTAGTAGTAAAAGAGCCCAAGGGGTAGATAATCAGGTAATAATTTCTGGAAGTTTTTGAGGCTGAAGAATAGGGTACGGACGCGTGTACCGCAATTCTCATCAGCTTTAGACTTCACCTCGTTTGCAAAGCCTTGACTCAAGCAACCTCTATGCAAACCACAAGAATACAAATTGACGTCAATGTGTTGATTTGTTTGTCGCACAAATCATCTTACTCCAAGGTTTTCAACTTTTCGCTGCTGGGCTCTTTATGCAGCTTCTTAAGAAAAAACTAAATGGCATTAAGATTGGCGTCAACAGATATGATCAAATTCGTCCTCAATTGTCAAGTTGTTCAAAATAAAGCTACTCAAGAAACAGACAAGTGAAGACGTAAAACGTCCGCACCCTAAAATAAACTTACGCCGACCCAGGTCATCGAATACGATGTTTCTGATTTTTCGTGGGAAAATGACATAAATGAGATAAATGACATAAATGAGATAAATGACATCTACCTGTTGTCTCATTTCAAGAGCCCTAGCAAAGTGGTGAACTACTTGGGTTAATTGAGACACGGTTGATTTCCTATCAGCCTGGAAAAAAGCTATGTTATCATTGCGTAATATAAAGGTATATATTACCAAAGATCTCAGTACTAAACTTGCCTTTCCAATAATTTAGAAAGTGCATCAAAAAGTGAAATACCCCGATAATTAGACACTAGAGGTCTAGAGACTTTTTAAAGCAAATTTTCGTGTAATGTGCTAGGAATGCTCGTACGGCATATATAAAAAAACAATTCTATTTTAGAGCTTTGATTTCTTTAATTCTATTAATATTCATTTCGTTGTGTTGGATGATGATGTAGGACGTCAATAGCAAATTCCTTCACGAGCGTCTTGGTAACATTATTTTTAGAAGGTTGCTGTTAGCTAATTTGTGACCTTGTTAGCCTAGAGTTTGTTTCAATAACGTCAATGATAATTGAAATATTACCAGAGGCTACAACAAATCTTAACAATACACACTAGTGTTAAGAGAGATTTTTTTTCTGTCTCTCGTGCGTCTCACGTATTTCAGGTTTAGTTTTGTTTTACCTCAATAGTATCCTTCCATTGCATCAATAGTTTTCAAGAATGAAATACTTTTAGATGCTATGTTAACACTCCTTTCCAACAGAAAGCCAAAGCATCAGCCAATGTAAAATCAACTGATGCGCGGAAACCATGGCCAAAGGGGAAATGAGCCACGATGTAAGGGTCTCGTTTCTTTTAAGTGATGTTTCCTTGTGACTGTTTCCTTTATGTAAATTCTGCTGTTATCGCGAAATTAGCCCAACGTCTGTGCTGCCCTTTTTCAGCGAGAAAGAGAATTTCTGCTATGAGAGTTAAGGTTGGGATTACAAAGAGAAGAAAAATGAGCCTCGTAAGGAGACTGAAACAACTAAGATAGTTTAGGAATACCTTCGTTAATGAAAGTTATTAAAACTATTGAAAAAAACTACATCTTACATCTCTTTATTCTTTCAAGATTACCTTGCGTCACGGAAAGATTTTTTTTTTAGGTTTCCAGCGCATGATAAATGCAATTTATCTCTGTCGATCTGTTAAAATAGCTGAGCACAAAGTGTTTTCAAAATTCCGACCTGTAGGATGCACAGAGGCAATCCATCGAAAGAGTGATTCGTGGTAAAAACCTGAACGATTTACGTCCGACACCGTAGTCACATTTAAGAGATCACGAAACATGCGTACACCTATAAAACCCAAAAGAGGATTCCGTTGCTACCCAGTGAATTCCTTTTTTTGTTAAAACCATTGAAAAACACTACATCTTGCATCTCTTTATTCTTTCAATATCACCATGCATCACGGAAAGATTTTATGGGGGGTTTCCAGCGCGTGATAAATGACTAACGAGGTTTTTTAGAATAAATGTCAAACTTTCGCTACTCACCTGGAAAAGGTCCATCATCCGGAGGAATAAAAAGGGTTCCATGGATTCTTCCTTCTCTCACAGGAATTCTCTTCACTCCATCCGCCATGTATCCCTTCTCAAACGTTTTGCTTGACAATGACACCAAAGAGCTTGATTCCTGCGGATTTATGTGACCATCAAAACAGTTTAGGGCGATATTGTAAGGCTTAGTGACATCAAATTTCATCAGTCGAATTCCTTTTCTCTGCCCTGGTGCTGGTTTCATGCTCCATAACAGTCCCATGGCTGAGACTCCGTTGTAGGATCCACCCACAGACGGGTCACGACAAACATCAACCTGGCCATGTTTATCAGCGATGAAGTGGGCGTGCGACTCAAATATTTGCCCTCTATCTCCAACAACTCGTGCCCCTAGCGTAATCTTCTGCATCGATTTGAGTCGGGATACGTTTATCTTGGTTATTTTGTCAACGAGTGAGAATTTCGGCCACAAGGTAAGCATCTTCTTTGAAATTAAGAACAGAATTTCCTGAGATGCTCTGCGTCCACGACCTTTGAATAAAATGAGTTCTCTTACATTCTTCCTATTGAATTTATGGGTAGACGGTAATTTAATTAACAAAGACTATTTAAATGTAGATAGGATGAAACAGACAGATAACTAAAGCCATAAAAGTATGCGCATATTGGACGGGTGGAAGGTTTGGGACGAGTGACAAATGGGGGTGGGGGGGGTAGATAAACCACCTGCCCAGATTGCTTGACATCTCCGACATGTCACACTTGACGGACCAATCAAATGGAATGAAATGGAACCCTTAATTCGTCTAAACTGACAAGCGTATCATGTACTAAAACAGAATACTCACGATCGAGGCTGGAACGGCGCAGTGATACACCAAATAAAGCAGTTAAAAAAAATTTAAATCCAAAGGAAATTTGCAAAACGAGGAATGCAGAATTTGAAAAATAGGGCTGGTACTCCGATATGGGAAAATAAGTTACTTATCAACGGTAAAATGTATTTTTTGATCCCCAAAAGAAAAATACAATGGCCCCGACTTTCACGACTTAGCGAACAAAACTTTGTATAAGTTATGTGCCGTGTACTGAGCTTGTTTTTCAGTTGACACATTCATATGAGTTATCAAACAGAACTTGCAAGCCATGTGGTAGAAATTTTAGAAGCGGATAATTGATTTTTTAAATTGCTTGAGTTGGCCGAAGACAAGCCTAAAACTTACAACGATCGTGGTCCGCCACACCGTGATTAACTTTGCGAAGAAGCGACAAGTCAATTGGCTCACACAATCTCGTCTGAAAGAACGAAAACGAAATTTTGCAGAAAACCAAGCGCAGCTCAGAGTTCAATCAATTTCGGGCAAAAAGGAAAAAGAGGCCTCGATTTCAGCGCACATGAACATAGTGGAGCTTGTCAACAAACCGGCCGCCACTCAGGTAAATTTTGCAGTTATTTACTTAAATGAAATGTGGAAAGCCGCATCATTTTTCTCAGAAGAATCATTGAGCGAGTAATTTTTGGTTCGAAGTGGAGGTATTTCTCTTTTAATTCACATAGCTAGGTATTGCCGAACAGGAAATTATATCTCAGCTGATTTGGTCCAAAAAACGGGTACAGATATTGAACTGTATGCACAAAAACCGGATAACGATTCAGAAAGAGCCGCAGCAATCTTTTGGGGACTTTAAGCAGTCAGGACGGCAACGCCACGAAAGACGTCCATTAAAAAATGAGTTTCTACTTTTGATTATAATTTCGAAAATGGCTGAATGTGTTTACCGTCTCATAGGGCGCCAGACCTCAAACTCCAACATAACGCATAAAAGTAGCGTTGAGTTCCAAATGTAAATTAAAATAACTTGCCGCCGCGGTTTCGTAAGATCTCTGTTTTTACAAATAAAAATCTTTCGGCGAAAGTTTTCTCTTTAATTTGAATAACATTTGTTTTCTTTATAACTCACTCGCTATCAAATTGTTAAGTTCAAGGAGGATATTCCCGTAATTAAACTCGTAATTGTAGCCCTAAATCATTCGGGTTCTTCAAATTAAAGAGAAAACTTTCTACGAAAGATTTTTATTTGTAAAGGTAGTTAAAAGGCTTCCGAACAAATTTTCAAACATTTTTTGGAAAAGTAACTGTCACGATGTGACACCTGTCAATTGAAGCATACCCATTTGAAGAAACAGCAGTACTTGTGTGACAAACACACACGAGTTAACTGATCATGCGACGATTTTCTCGTAAAGAGAAAAACAGAGATCTTACGAAAAGTATTTTTTATTTCCAACGACGATTAATCTTGGAAGATTTACCTCTGTTCCGTTTTAAAATGTCACGGAAAGTCAAATTGTAAGTGAATGCAAATATGTTTTGGAGTCGTCAGTCTGCTTGTTTGTTTTCTGGAACGGCGTGTGTAAATCGGTTATTCTTCCACCGAAAAGCTGAAGTCAATGAGACTCTTTCTACCTAGACACAAGGAGATTTAATGCGACTTTTATTCATCGAATTTATGCGTTTCTGCCGTGAAATTCACAACGAAAGTGTATTTTAGGATTTTGAACTGGTGCTGAATAAAATTCTGTCTTAGCCTAAACTTATTACTTCGTTTGTATCTGTGCATGTCAAACCCATGTGTAGCTTAAAGGTCAAACAGGGATTCACTAAATTGGTCACTCACCAAATTGGCTCGCCATTAAGTCTTGTGATCGCCTTCGTATGAAATTGTTTTTTTGTTGTTGTTGTTGTTAAGTCCGCGTTTACTAGTCCGCGTTTTATTAGTCCGCGTTGTACTAGTCCGCGTTGTACTAGTCCGCGTTGTACTAGTCCGCGTTTTACTACTCCGCGTTTTACTAGTCCTCGTTTTGCTAGTCCGCGTTTTACTAGTCTGCGTTTTATTAGTCCAGCCCAGTCCAGTCCAGTCTACGAAATACCATATGCCGTACGATTTTTATTCACAAGTTGTGTAAAACAAACTCACTCGCTCCGCTCGTTCGTTTGTTTTACACAAAGAGTGAATAAAAATCGTACAAGCGAACTAACTATGAAATAACTTATTTATTATATACATACCGAGATTCATAAGCAAACAGAACTCAGAGATAAACATATCTTTATTTTCTTACAAAGGAAAGCAACGCGCGGTCAAGCCGCTGTTCGGGAGTTGCACTGAAATGGCTTCCTTGTAAAATACTTCTTTACATCTAAATTATCAAGCGAAAATGCCGTTAAAATGCAGAACTAGGTAGAATCAATTAAGAAATCCTGAAAATATGTCGAAATAGTTCTATGGAAGTTCAAAATTTCAAATAAAGAAGTGAAAACCCGAGACTTAATATTTTTGTTTTTGTTTCGCCTTTCAAAACAAGAAATTCGTGGAACAGAGCGACATCGTGTTTGGTCTTTTTCCTAGTGTTTTCATTTTCCTGTCCGTCTATGAACTCTTCTACTGATGAATCTAGGCTCTGAAAACGGTTAGTCTGATTTGAAGCCATCTTTCTAAGGAAAAATGCGCCTAAGCTCTTAGAAATGTGCAATTTGTCAGTCAAGAAGAGCGGCGAGCGAGCGAGCGACACGGTTTTGTTCACTTGTGAAAATAATGATATAGCCAATCAGAGCGTCGATACGTCCTTTTTCACCAGTGAAAAAAAATCGTATGACCAATCAGCTGGCTCCTCTAGCGCGAAGAGACTATTTTTATCGCGATGCTTTTTGGCGCGTAAATCTCTTTATGTATATAATAAAAGTATTTATCTTTTCATCTGCAAACGAGTGATATAGAAAGAGAAGTAAATAAAATTTGTCATTTTGGTAACAGTTTTGAATGACATTCACCAAGTATTGACTTTAATACTGCTGCAATACTTTACTGAATATGAATATATGAATATAGTTTATATCTGACCACTTGCAGCCCAGAGGATGAATTACGGGTGCAGTGTAAGGTTGAGAACAGACGTCAGCATATCAGGCGCCTCTGGCAGCCGCTTCAGTCTATCGATCTCACCTTCCCACCCATCCCATCCCAGGGGAGGACATCCATCACACAGCAATCTCGTGTGTGGGAAATTTAATTTTAATAATAAGTTCTTATATAGCGCATTAAAATTGAACTCTATGCGCTTTACAATTACAAATTAACAAAATTTCAATAAAAATCCTATACATGCAATTCGCTACTCTATCTAAACTAATGAATTATTACGTGTTATACATATGTTTGACAACGTACGATATCAAAAAATCTGGTGGCTTAATTTTTGAAAAGATAAGTTTTCAATAAGCGTTTAAAGGAGTCAACAGATTCGGCGTTTTTTATGCATTCAGGTAGTTGCTTGATACATTTTGTTTCTCGTTCGTCAATCTACT